ACATTTCACAATTAAACACGCACACTAACGCCATGAGGTAGACACGTGACACCCACTAAAACTAATATATGCATAAAATGAACAGGTGAAATCCATCCAACCAATAAAGTCAATATAGATTTTGACAATCGAAACAACTCCACATTACGTCCGTCTACTCATCCCCGCCAGTCGCTAAATTTAATAGTGAAACATTAAATTTATAACGGTTTTCCTACTTGCTCCTTATCTAATCATTTAAATTGCCTAATAATTAGTTTTATTTCTAATCCAAGCTTCTCGGTTGGGAAGAATTTTAGTTTAAACTCCAGCATACCGTAATTCGGAATTCATGTTTTCACTTATATCATTCGAGAGCAAGCAACGATACTGAAATAACGTAACATATCATGACAACATTAGGGCAACAGTAAAATATGGCCACTTACATCAGTACAAATAATGAGCGAAGTGAAATAGTCATTACTTGCTCGTAATTATACCGTTGTGAATGTAATATTCAAAGCAGCTACTGTCTGTCCGAGCGCATACACGGACAAATATATACATAGAGAAAGACAAATGCACGCCTCTTTTTGATGGTATTTTTCCCCACCTTCCGCAACTTTTCTTAACGTCTTCCTGGCTTCTAGCAGATAAAATCATTCCCACTTTAAGGCAATACCATTTCTAAGAACATTAGTGTGTTCTCCTAGCTACATTGCTGCTATTTATCGCCATCATAAGCGGGTTTAACGTCCGAAATGCAAGCTTTAGCCAGAAACTGACAAGAGTGACCATAATTTTGTTCGCAATCGTCAAGCAATAGTAAAGGGGACATTTTAACACGTTTCTCGACTATAACTAGCTGTAAGATGACCACCGAAAGACACAGTGATTTCTGCAAATATGCATAAAGTATAAATGTAACTCCGAAAAACATTTGAGGGTTGAAGAAGACGATTATCTTATTTTTTACAGAATTAATTTACTGACATCGTAAAGTTCTTAGAGCAGACACAGAAAGGAAACTAAAAGAATTCCTACAGAAGGTAGTGAAAGGAAGCGAGAAAAAAGGACTAGACATCAACTGCAAGAAAACTGAATGCACGGGCGTTAGCAAAAGGAACCGCCCAACATGCAAACTAAAATTTGCAATATCTGAGAAGCGTATTAACAGAGGGCGGAAAGGACGACACAGAAATCCAAAAGTGCATTGGGAAAGCGAAAGATGCCTTTCAAAAGCTGAGCAAGGTATTAAGAAACAGAAAAATATCGTTAGAAATTTAAAAAAAAAGAGTATGGAAATAACAGCCCTCCTATATAATAATAAATGCTGATGAAGAAGAGACTGGAAGCAACAGAAATGTGATTCTATAGAAGTATGTTGAGAACACCAGAGTCTGAACATGTTTTTTTAGAAATAATGGATAATGGCAACAGGAAGGATAGATTTTTAACATCATGAAGAGACAGTTGAAATTTCTTGGGCACATAATGAGGTAAGAGAACTAGGAAAACGTGATACTCACAGGACAGATTAAAGATAAGAGAAATAGCGGAAGGCAACTCATAACATACCTGGCGCGATTGAGCGAATGGATGATGGAGCAGGGTTTTGGAGAGACGACAAAAGTTATTAAGAGCTACAAATTGATGAGGGACATAATTACCAACGTCCTGAAAACAAACGGCACATAAAAGAAGAAGGTCCCTGTAGGATTACATGAGGCTGTTAGAATAGTTCAGTTGCTGATTAGACATCGTCGGTGAAAGATGCGTGACGGAGCTTCGGTTTAGCACTGGCTGACGCAGATGAAATAGTCAGTTCCAGTTCATTAAACGAGTAAATTAGCATAAATTAATACTCATTTCAATATACAAGGCTGTACTCCTTAACTTATATTAATACTCCTTCGACTGTACTCATTCGAATAAATTAATACTCTTTAGAATGTAAATAGTTTTACACCTTAGACCATATTAATACATATTAGAGTGTAAAAGGCTATACTCATTAGCATAAATTAATACTCCTTAGAATGGAAAAAACGCGCATTCTTGCAACTGCCTTTCACAAACTACTTGCTTTTTTCGTGCTTTTAATTTCCCTGCGTAAGGCAAACAGTAACATAACACGACTCGGAGTTTCATGCAAATACACAATCTTCAGGCGCAGGGTACTCACTGACTGTTAAGCGTCATAAAATTCACGTTCTTGTGGTTTTAATTTAAAATTGTGTGTTAAGACTTGTTCATTTTATTATTGTTGTCTATAATATTTGAATTAATTATTTATAGCGTATATCTGGGAAACTCATATGTTCCAAAAACAAAGAATTAAAAAAAATTATTCCAAATATTTTTTTTTAATTGAAGTTACAGGCTATGTAACAAGGGGGATAACTCCCTCTTTGCATTAAAAGAAACGTAATTGTGTCAAAAATAATTGGTGCTTATTAAAATATACTATTAAAGTAATGACTTATGGAGTAAATTTAGCTCTCACGATATTAACTATAGGTTAAAAAGATATATATAATATATTTGGAAACTAACCGTATACTTACAAAGGTGTAATTACGTAGACACACGTAATAAAATAATCAAGGACGATTTATAATATGCAATCATAAATGTTTATATATATATATATATATATATATATATATATATATATATATATATATATAATTTTATATATTTATACCCATATATAATTCCATATTATAGATCGTACTTGATTATTTTATTACGCGAGTATCCTTATGTATTTGCATCAAACCTCGACGACGAATATTCTGTGTATTCACTGATATATGCTTAATAGCTCTGTTATATAATGTGACGTCGTCCCCTGGTCGCAGCGCCAACTGTGACGTCCTATCCTGGTCTACCACGACACCAACTGTGACGTCCTCGCCGCGGCGCCAGCTGTTCGCTCCTCGCTGCTCCGTTCGGGTGTCGCCGCTCCAAACGTGACGTCCGCCTGTCGCGTCAGTCGTGTTGTCTCGTCCTGTGACGACCAACTGGCTTGGTATCGTTCGCGGCACCCAGATGTGACGTTCTAACCTTTTGGTGATTCGGGTGGGAATCTGGTTAGATTTGATATCAGCCTCGTCGTCCCAACTCGCTTCCAACGCCTGGTTACCAAAGTAACTGCCTTGATCTCCAGTCTGCCTACCCACGTTGTGAATTGATCTTAGGCAGACGAGATCAATCAGTAGTTGGGGCCGTAATGCAAATCGGGTTCAACGGGGGTGACACCACACAAATATGCATAAAAGAAAATAAAATGAAAACTCAAAAATTCAAGGTATTAAAGAAAAAGATAACAAACTTTATGTCTAGTTGTTCGATACATAGGACTGCGTCTATCTCCCGACCCGTTCTATGGATTGTGACACGTTGTTTTCCGTTAGGCGAGTTTTAACGCTTCAAGTTGTTTGCTCTTTAAGCAATTGGTTTTTCGGTGTGTCTTCGGACGAAAGTCGAAAAAAACTTATTTTGGTGGTCTGGATCTAAGTCGCTCTTCAAAATAATTGTTTTGGGATTGAAGAGGAGTCCGGAATGTGCGTGAATCTTTCAAGTCAGCTATCTGCGAGGCGGAACCAACTTCCACTGGGAGCTTCGAACTGTCTGCTGCAACTCCACTCTGCTGAACTGGAACTCAACTGATTTCTGCTTGCTGCGGCTTCGCTTATATAATAATTCTAAATACATATCCACCTCTTTTATTTCTGGTTAGGAATTTTCCACTCTTTTCCATTTTTGGGAGCCTTTTCTTACTCCCACTTTCTCACCATACTTCAGAGGGGCGTGAGCTGCCCTCCCCACTTCTTCGTAGCAGCTTCTCATACCTATCCTCTGGATGGGCGGCGACAGCCTCCTTCGTGCGTCACGTGATCACAACTCGACCAATGGTGTCTTAGTCGGGCGTGGACGAATCCGCGGCTTTGTTTCAGGGAAAAAAAATATCTTGCTTAACTAAAAAAAAAATTATCTTTTCTTTTCCTTTTCTTCCTCTTAATCGCAGTTATCATTTTCTCTAACCGCAAACAGGATAATATGAACGACGGTGGTCATAACTCTTGTTCTACACCTGGGCTTCGTCAGTCATCTTATCGCTAATTATCAGAATGGGTGGTCTTTTTAACACGGCCAGACGTCACCCCGAAAATAACATTTCTAAGTTCCAATGCATTTCCTTTCGGTACATATTTCTGATAACATAATTTTATTATCGCAGGCTAAAGATGTTCCGTCGAAAGAAATCGGTCAGTGGACACATCGTGTGCGGTTTTTGACACAATTAATTTTTCATATCTATCCAAAGCCCTTTAGTCCACTTGTTTTCCGTCACTTATCGAAATAACATTTTCATTTGGATTTTTCTTTGGCCAGTCGGTCTGTGGTTGATAATCAGATGCCTCCCCGTACCAGCAGTTTGTTTACGCATCCCAGATAACACAGCCGTCGCCAAAACACACCCGATTCCTTTACCCACTCAGAATTTCCCTGTCATTGTAATGACACTCTTTCGCCATTTGTTACTTATCAAAATATCCTTTATCCATTGTCTCTTAGACGTGGTGTTCTGCTTATCATCCACGTTTTAGGTCTCGCCTCTCTTTTGCCTTCTTTTCTTTCTTTTCTTTTTCTGACTCGGTAAATGGTGCCACAATAACATTGAGCACTGTTTTTATAACAACTAGGAAAAAATGTATATGTACGTGCACGTATATACATATATGTGTTTGTGTGCGCGCGCGCTTGTCTGTGTTTGTATGTATGTGTGAGCGCGTGCATGTGTGTCTATTTCAGTTAAACATATTTGTCTATTTCATTGTTGTATATAAAATGTTTTCAAGTATAACACACTACTGGAATTCAATTACTTTGCGTTATTCTAATCCTCCCGTTTGTCGTCTTATGGTGTTAGTATCTCATGTATATACTAATGTCTACTGTGGGTCCTGGAGAATGAAAAAAAAAACAAAGCATTCCTTTCCTCTTACCAAATGCCTCAACAATGTGATTGTTGGTTAGGAGTAGTTCATTTCATAAAAGATCATTCTCATTTAGTTTGTATATATCTATATATTTTCTTACATTTTCTTCGGGTTTGTGTTATCAAAATGTGACCAATATTAACGGCAACTCTTGTTCGTTTACCAAATCATGATGACCTAAAAGCATGTTTTTCAAAGTTACTTCCTATTTGAATGTCTTCTCGTTGTTGGAAGTGTCGAAGTTTTAGTGGAATTATCGATAATGTAATTATATAAAATTATGTTCACATGTTAGCTTGAAAGAATGTGATAAATGAAATGCAAGCGTCGATGAGGAACTAATAATGTCACTTGTGGAAGCCATTTTTTTTTTTTTTTTTACGCTTTTCTTTTTCATATTCCGGTGGTTATTGATATATTTTTACTTATGACTTACTCTTTAAGAACCATTTCCTGTAACATCTAAATTAACACCGTATAAATTTTGTATTTTCTTCTTAACAAACACACATGCACACACACACACACACACACACAGAGGCACACACACACACACATACATACATATTTTCCTTCTCTTATATCTCTTCTTATTTTTCGTTCTTTTTCTTTTTACTGAGTATATCTTGTCTTCCTTTCTATTCTTTTTTCAGCAGTCTCCCTTTCTTTTCTTTTCTCGGCTGTCTCCCTTTCTTTTCTTTTCTTTTCTCGGTTGTCTCCCTTTCTTTTCTTTTTCGGCTGTCTCCCTTTCTTTTCTTTTTTCGGCTGTCTCCCTTTCCTTTCTTTTCTCGGCTGTCTCCCTTTCTTTTCTTTTTTCGGCTGTCTTCCTTTCTTTTCTTTCCTCGGCTGTCTCCCTTTCTTTTCTTTTTCGGATGTCTCCCTTACTTTTCTTTTTTCGGCTGTCTCCCTTTCTTTTCTTTTTTCGGTTGTCTCCCTTTCTTTTCTTTTTCGGCAATATTCCTTTCTATTCTTTTTTCAGCTGTCTTCCTTTCTTTTCTTTCTCGCCTGTCTCCCTTTCTTTTCTTTTTTCGGCTGTCTCCCTTTCTTTTCTTTTTCGGCTGTCTCCCTTTCTTTTCTTTTTTCGACTGTCTTCCTTTCTTTTCTTTTTTCGGCTGTCTAATTTCTCGCGGAGAAGAGATGTAAAAAAAAAAAATAATGTTCATAACCATCTTTTTACTACTGCCTGATGTGATGCTATATTTCATCGAAATATTAATGCATTTTTGTAGCGGAAATATGTATGTCGAATGTAATAACCTATAATAAAGGAATATATATATATATATATATATATATATATATATATATATATATATATAGGGTCTCCCAAAATAATGTATACTCTCTTTGAATCGTAAAAGATGTATGGAGACAAAGTGGAAAAGCTATAAACAACATGTTTCGCTTAACGTCTGTTGCTATCGGGTTCTTCAGATCAGAATGAAAGAGAAAAGTTACGTTTTAATAGAAATATAAAATTCAGAAAAATTCTTGTTGAAAATACATCTATTCTTACTCATGAAAATAATAAACGTAAACTAAAAGTTCTTGAAACTATCTATATTAAAAAATTGGAATCAAACCTTAATAAAATTAATTGTGAATACTACACAAATGTTTTAAAAACGTTTACAGTAGATAGTTTAGAACATCGAGGTTTGTACTAATAGTTTTAATACTTCTTAAAAAATCGACACACCATAACTTAGTTACCCCCCTACACTTTACACCAGTCTAAATCGTACACAACATAACCTCAGCATTTTTCACTTTCAGATGAACACAGCGATTGTGTGTTTGAAAATGGTGAACACAATATTTGACTTGAAATAAACACCTTGATGATGACATTGTGCTAATGACGGAAGCACTCGGGATAAATGAATATGTATCAACACAATAATTTTCTCTCTTCCTTTAATAATGACACCAAAAAGCTTGTCCGTGAATATGAAAGGATCCAACTGAAAATAAGTACACAAAACTTGTCTAAATTATTCAATGAAACCTATCTGAATCAATATGTGTGTGTGTGTGTGTGTGTGTGTGTGTGTGTGTGTGTGTGTGTGTGTGTGTGTGTGTGTGTGTGTGTGTGTGTGTGTGTGTGTGTGTGTGTGTGTGTGTGTGTGTGTGTGTGTGTGTGTGTGTGTGTGTGTGTGTGTGTGTGTGTGTGTGTGTGTGTGTGTGTGTGTGTGTGTGTGTGTGTGTGTGTGTGTGTGTATTGTGTGTGTGAAATATGAATATGAAATAAATATATATATATATGTATTTATTTATATATTATATGAGTTATGATAACCGCTCAATATCAGAGATAGATCTAACATATTTGGTTGGATAGAACCTGACGATCGCTAAAGCGTGAAACCTCTGACGACAAACTCACATCTATCCAACCAAATATATATATATATATATATATATATATATATATATATATATAACAGAGGTCATATCATTGTGATAAAATTCGGGGCATTAATGACCCCAACAATATTTTACACTCTGACCACACGAATCGTATGAAGTACAAAGAGTCTCCAATTATTTGACTGGTTTTCGTCACTGCATCGAGGTTTGTCTCATGCCAAGAGTTCATATATTGTTATGTAACTAGTTATTTATAACTACAAATAATCACGTGAGTATCGTTGTCTTTCCGGAAGTGGATTGTAGCGTACTTCCGCATCTGTCGCGGCCTTTTTGGTAGGTGCCCTCGTGTATCATGTGGTCAACCATCCTATACAAATGACAGCAAACAATGCTAATTCTCTATAACAGATTCTAAGACCCTTGCAGGACTAAAACATGCATCAAGCGATGACACTGCACAAAATCGAGTCTCAGCCATCCCGTATATCTATATATATATATATATATATATATATAAAACCCCTTTAAAGCCCTTAGCCTTGGAGCGTATAGAATGGAGATCAACGTGTTTTAGTGGACTCAGCAATTTTCAATCTGCTTGTCTGAATCATCTTCAAGAAGCGAGAGCAAGATCTAAAAGGTCAGCTAATCTAACAGTGATCTCATCTCACAATCCTCACACTTGCTCCATATGTGGTCTCCTTTGTAAATCACTAGCGAGTCTTAAATGCCACTTAAGATTACGGCACAAAATTTTATAACTAAATCAATAAGCTGCCAGATCCTTATACGTCGAAACCGACGGGAGAGTCCATTATATATATATATATATATATATATATATATATATATATATATATATATATTAAAAGTTAAAAATAAATGTACGCTAGTTTTTAACGATTATTGTAAAGTAAGTAATTGTGAAAACAACAATATATGCTTTGAAGCAAAAATGGGTTTATTAAATTACAACAAATTTTCAATTATTCCTCCATTTTGTTGTATAACCAACGTTGCACATTTCATCAAATAATTGACAGATTATCCATAAATTGAGATGTGCGCTCGACTTATAAGCAATGACTCCCTCTTGAAAGAATATCGTGCGGCGTCTTTGTGGATCCAGACTTTTCTATCAGACGAGCAATTGTTGATAGAGCAAAAGGATTTTGTCTTAAATTGTTCCTTGTTTTTGTAAGTTTTCATCGTTGCTGTTACACTCTCATAATTAGCATAGTATAACTTCAGAAGCTCCAGTCGACAGTCTAATCTAAGCTTTGACATATTTTACGGGGAAAGATTTATCAAAACAAACCACAGCTCATATGCATTTAATGTCTAAAAAATAAATAACGTGTAATTAATTACCCGATTGGCCAATTTAAAAATCATCAAAGCTCACGCACATTTATTCTCACCCTGTATCAAGCAAGTACTCAACTTCAAATACCTCGGTAACTATATTTTCTTCCAATGATGTCAACAACAGACTGGGAAAGGCTTTAAGTATGCTTTATTCAACTGAGAATACAAGCTTCGCATATAGTGTCTTTTTATAGTCCCAGTAAACTTAAATAGCTCTCTCAAAGAGGAGATTAACAAAACAAGGGGAGACCACTCTTCATAACACTTGTAGGACTAAAATATTATCATCTCCAAAAATAAAATAAAATTGCGTAAAAATATTTAGTTTTCGGCATATAGATAAACTATATTTGTTCATATGTGGCTAAAAACAACTAACCAACTATTTTCCCGTGATGCCATAAATATAAAACGCTGAGCGAGAATCGAGCACACTAATGAATTGTCATAGTCTCTAACACCATTACTCTCCGACGAGGAACTTCAAAATTACAAGTCCGTGTGCCTGTGTAAGTATATATACGTCTTCTTGTACGCACAGATATACACATTTACATGCATTCATATATATCATCGCATTATGAAAGTTATGATAGGTAATTATGTCTTCTGACTCAAGAAACATGACAATTAACTGATGGATAGTTCATAAATAAAACAAAACTGGACACATCGATCAAATCGATAGGATTTAGTCGAGCAAGAAAAGAAAGAAGAGTAAAAAAAAATAATCAATCACATTTTACTTTTTCGTATTTCTTCTCTTTACTCGTTATTTTTCATTTCGTCCTTACCATTTCTCTCGCTCTATTTATCAGTCTGGGACAATTTATCACGGAATTACATAAATTTACATTTATTTTGAAGAATATAAATCATTTTAAAAGAAAAAAATATATAAGCATCGGAATGAAGACATACAAGATATAGTACGGCGTCTACTGCTGCTGATGTCTGGACTAAAAAAAAACAACATGGCCGCTCGTATCGGGTTATAGAACAGTGCAACAAAACAAACATTTTTTTCATTATTTTTTTTTGTTCTTATTCATAAACGTCTGCGCCAAAGTCTATTTTATCTCATTGATTAGAGACACAAGGTAGTCAAATCAGAGATTATAGAATTAGAAACAAGAATATACGACCTTTCTGCTTGCATACAAGATAATAGAAATACAGACGTCTTCTCTGTCTTTTTCACTCTTTCACCCTTTCGCTTTTTAGTCTTGCACTTTCTCTATCTCTCTTCCCTCTCTTTCTATCGCTCTCCTCCCACTGTCTCTCTCTTTGTTCCCTACCTTTCTGTAGATATGTGTATGTTTCTTTTTATTTTGATTACTTTGTTTCATTCTTCATTCTCTTTCCGCGAAAAAATCTATAAGCTGCACAAAAAATAAATATCTATAATCCATTTGGAACTACAAATTGCGTACTTTAGTAAACATACTAAGTTTTAGGAGGACATATCTGTGGAGCCAATTGCGTTTCCCTGACAAGTCATCTCCATCAACTCATCTTGCCTCTGGGGTCGAGAATGGAAAAATACATCGACTAACTAATCGCGAATAGAATGAGAATTTAACAGTGGAGCCTACACCCAGACCTGGAGGAGCGAAAAAAAAAAGTGATATTAATGGTGCTAAGTTTGAAACTTTGAATGTAAAACTCATGAATTGGAGGTAGGAAAAATAATCTTCAAAAAATGATAAGTTTGCACTTTTCTTTCTTAGATAGATGATGTTTCTACAGAAATGCACCTTTCCAGGAAAAAGTAATTTCTTCAAAAAATCTTTTGTAAAATTATCGATTAAGATCAGGAACATCAATTTATTTTTAAATTTTCTAAATTTAAAATCGGTGGGCTTCAATTTGCTATGCAAATTCATTGTATATTAATCGTCCTATGGAACTACCCCCAAAAATAAAATTTTTCATACGAGGAAATCAAGTATATTCTTATTTACAAAATTTCAAGTTAAAAAAATGCTTATACTATTTAAAGCATATTTTACTTGCTTTTTTCCTGCGTCGTGTTAAAATATTGCTTACAAAGAAAACATTTAAATAATTACAAAAGAGGCGAGAAGTATTATTTAAACATATCGCTTTCAACTTTGTGTGTCTCCCCCCTCCCACACACTCACACACGACGTAGTGTGATATTCAATAACGCAATCGGATGCGGCACAAGACCAAGTTTACTGTGGGGTGTCCGAGCCCGTAAGCTCGGCCAAAATTTCTGCGTAGACCCCGTAAAAGCGGGGTCGGAAAACTGTCTCCCGTGACGAGACCCTGCCCTTCGAAACTAGCCTCGTCTGGGGATCCTCTCTGCCCGGAGGCAGAGAGTTTTACCAACACAGTTCCAAAGTAATACACGACCTAGTGTAATGGTTAGTCAAGCTTATCTCGCTATAGACAATTACAACTGAGTAGCGAGTTCGATCTTCACTCGGGGCCCGATTCTTTTGGCCTTGTGCCACATCTAACCTACACCTAGAAAATCGCCATATTGGTTAACCCTTTGATATTATTCTTATTTTTTCTTTATATTTGTTATTTTATTTTCATTTTTTATTTTATTCTATTTTTTGCTGTTGTTGTTGTTTTAGTTTTTGCAGACTGAAACCTACCCTTAAAATTTAGAAAATCTGAAAATTTATCTTTTTTTTTTTGTCTTTATATTCGTAATCCGGAGAGCTAAATCGATAGTAATATTTTTTTAAATACTTTTTAGGGTGGGGCGTTTCTGAAAACAAAATACAAACGATTGCTTTAATATATGAAAAATCTGTAATACCCACGTGCCACAACATCTCCGTATTTTTCGTTTTCAGGTAAAAATTTTTGTCCTTCATCAGTTAGGGATATAACAATTTGAATGATATATTTATTGTCCTGTCCTGGGTGTGAAGATATACTACATCTGACAGTAAGGCCTCTGTCCAGAAGGTAAGAGCGTGGATCACCTCTTGATTGCTGTTGTCCCCATATCCACCCTGACCCGGGCTGGTAGCACCTGTAACTGTCCCAACCATGAGTAAATTGTCAACCCTCAAAATTGGGGGTCAAAACACTGTGAAAGTATAAAAATACATTTTCATAGTATCAGAAAAATTACCAGGAATACATTTTTGAAAAAAATACCCTCACAAGTACATTAAATTCCGGTATTAAATGACCCATGAGGAGTTGATATGAGGTTAAACAATGTAAGAATTGCAATTAAATCCTGAATTATCTAGCACTAAAATATTTACCTTATTTACAGCCTGATAATTAATAAGGAGCCCAATATTAACCTCTTTGTAAAGTCTATTACCAACAATTGATTATTCATTGATTCATCTCGACGTTTCACAAATGCTTCATAGATTCCTTACTGAACCAAAAGTCGATTAACACACGTACCGGCCTGTAAGTCTGCAATAGGGAAAGTGAATTAAACAAAGATTAAAACATGTTATTAAGCTTGAAATAAACTATTTTTTAAAAATCAATTTGGGTTTCAGACTTCATATTGACAAAAGTTCACTGTATTCCCTAAATGGCATAAGAATTATTTATTAATATAAGTAATTACTTATTCAGGTTTTGTAAATATCACATATCTTGAAGGATTACCAAGACTGAAAATAAAACATGGCTATTAACATGAAAGAGTTCTTTCATGGCATTAATCCATATAATATCTTACAATGATTTTAAAATCAAATTGTATTCCAAAATATAACTTCAACAAAACACACATATCATTGCCTCTAGTAATTCTGTCGACACAAGCATGTATATGCACAAAAGCTAACTATCATCTACAGTGTATTACTTCAAAGCCTCCAATAAAATTATTTTTTGACATTAAATAACCCATCTTCTTTCATGTTTTGAGTACATTCACAAGGTGATTATGGCCCTCCACATCTTTCTGTCCCTTGTAGCTCTTAATAAGTTTTGTCTTTTTGTTATTTCTCCCAAACCCTGTTCTGCCACGCATTTGCTCAAACTCATCAGCTGCTACGTGTTGCTTTCCTCTGCCCCTAATCTCTCACATGAGTATCAGATTTTCCAAGCCTTCCTTCCTCATTATGTGCACCAGAAACTTTAACAGCCTCTTCTTGATGTTAAGTATAAGTTTCCATTTTATTCCGATTTTTTCCAGAACTTCTTTATTGCTCGCATGTTTGGTTCATGGTATCCTCAGCACCTTTCTGTAGAACCGCATTTCTGTTGTTTCAAGTCTCTTCCTCATCTTTGAGAATATTGTCCAGCATTCGCTGCCATTCAGGAAGACAGATACCATGTAATCCATTCAGTATCTTTTCTTTGTTTCCAACAATTTTTTTCTGTTTCTGCTTAGCTTTTAGAATGCATCTTTGGCCATCCGAATACATCTTCGGGATCTCAGTGTCACACTTTCCGTCCTCTGTTAAAACACTTCCCAGATTTTGAAATTTCTCTCCCTGCTTGATTTTAGTATCCCTGACCTGTAACTTGTATTTTAGGTTCATCTTTTTGCTGATGGTCATGTATTCTGTCTACTTGTAATTTACACTTAGTCCTTTCTTCTCGCTTTCGTTCGCCACCTTCTGTAAGAGATATTGTGCTACTTTGGCACTGATACGATTAAGAAGAATACTTTATCAATATGTAATAAAGATTTTATTTACACCTAAACATGTATAAAATGGTTAACATAAACACAACTCCTATATATAGAGAATATGTCAAGCGGACTTAATCATTTGGTGGAGTGAAATAGGGCTAGATAACTTGTACCTTTAAACCCTTAGCATCTGGTAACTTTGGGGGAGGAGAAAATTTCTTGCGTGTTGCTTCGGAGCAGATCCGGTCCCTTCTCTGGTGGTGGTCAATCTAAATCCACGTGGTTTTATTAACCAATGAGAGACCACCTAACATCATAGGACCTTTCTCTCTATATAGGAGCAGACGAATTTTACAAACGCAACAGAGGTTTTGTAGTTTCCTTTCCGTATCTGCTATCAGCACTGTGCCATCTGTATATCTTGCATTGTTAAGATTTTGGCCGCCAATAATGAATCCGGGTTGGACTTCTAATTCTCTCCGAGCCGCCTCGCTGTATAGGTTAAATAAATCCGAACGAGTTGATATAGCGTTAAACAAACAAATCAGCCAATCAATCGATTATTTTCGTTACATGGACGCAGACTGTATGTTGGAGATATGCAATTAGATACTTATTTTAAAATGAGGGCTTGCTGTTCCCTTCCTGCATTTACTTTTTTGAATGTCTAAAACTCTACCAAGTAGAATGGGTCCTAATTTTGGTTATTAACACTTTAGTACTAAGTAACGTTATCATTTAAATTTGGAATATCTTCGTCATTGTTGTCAATTATAAGAACCTTTTGGTTCTAAGGCCCTCCGAAATAGAGATTTTCCAAGCGTAGCTTATATGTGGCACAAGGGAGGTACCCAGTAATGATTAAACTCACTACTAACTGTTCTAGCGGCACAAGCTTGCTAACCATTACACCGACGCGAGGTGCCCTCGGCCCTGCGATATATTCAAGTTCTTGTTCCGCTCTCCGTGTCTTATTTAGTACTGCTCAGTGATTGCTCGCCGTTTACAAATAGTCTATGTCTGTACTACTCTGCCCAGAGACTGAATTCAAAATGAGTATATCACCAAATTCATAAAGCAAATCATTAACCCTCTCGTCTATTGTTGCGGTGGACAATCCTCAACCTAGCTTTGATTTACTTCATACAAAGCTACTAACACAAGTGTAGATGTGGATACTTTCAGTTCTCTTTATTTATTTCTTAATGCCTTTTATGTGGTATTTGTTTCTACATTTGCCCTACTGAGGAGGTCACCATAGTCTAGTATAGTGATTTTCCAAGCGTAGCTCAGATGTGGCACAAGGCCGAAAGCATGGAGCACCTGAAGGATCGAACTCACTACTCAGGCGTAATTGTCCTAGCGAAACAAGCTTGCTAACTGTTGTGGTAGGATCCACCTAATTTGCATAGTGGAGTACCGACCATATAAATATGGTTGGTACCGGGAAGAGAGGGAGGAATCAAGAGATTCAACCAGAGACTCTGCCCAACTGCGACTCAGTCAACACATTCTCCAGGAACGGTCTTACCAGGAATATACAAAAGACTATATGTAAATATTGTGTACACTTTCTTGTTTCAATACATTTTGTTCTAAGTACATTTTGTGTTGCATTATTATTCCATGCATTAGTCAAGTTTCAACACTAACCATTACACCACCTCGAGGTGTAATGGTTAGCAAGCGCCCTAGTGATTTCCCAAGCGTAGCTTGGATGTGGCACAAGGCCGAAAGTAAGGGGCACCCAGTGAGGATCGAAGTCACTACTCATTCGTAAT